CATAGGTACTAATACCTACAGTGATAACTGCATATGTAAGTGTTTCCGAAGATATGAGAGAAGATGAGAAACTAGATATTGACAATTCGGAGAACAAGTGCCAATATGACAAGTACTCATGGTGACTTGCAAGTACCAAAGTCGATCTAGTGTTCTTGGAGGTCTTTGCAGACTGATAAAGTCGAAAGGATCATTGATCCCGCAATCGCGTGTCATTTTGTCAATGCTGTTACTGAAGATCGTCAACCGACTTGCTGATAATTTGCACTTTCTAATGATGAGTTTCAGATCATGTTGATGGCGAGTCGCAAGTGATGATGGTGAAGTATTCATCTGAATTTGACCATTGATAGTCTAGAAAATGAGCATTACTAGTCTAGAATTTGTAGCAGGAAAACCAAAAAAGAAATCAAAAAAACAACTGATAAGTTCCTACATCAGACCAAGTATCAGCAAGATGATAGCTGCAGCAGACTTTATTTCAGGAAACCAGCAAATGTAAATGTAAGAGGAAATGATTATATGGGCAATCCTGATTCTGGCAAGGGTTTCCTCCTATCCTCAAACGGCTACCTTAATCTTCTTTAGAGTCTCTGCCAGACTGATTGAAGACTTCTATATAAAAAGCATTTGCGAAGCTGGGAAGAGGTTTGTCAAAAGAAATACTAAGTATACTATAATTACACTTCATTGTCCAAAATCAGAAATCTCCTTGCTCTTTATCTGATAAAGCTCTTGTATTGCATTGTAATAGCAAATAGTCAAGTGAACAAAAGTAAGAGCGGTCGTTGTGTCCTAATAGTGTGATCTATCATATGAGAGGAATAACACTTGTCAACTGTACCTTACATTGCTGATTACTAGTGGAATCCAGCCTGTGTTAAGGCTGTTATCTGGAGAGTGGACGTAGGCTTTGAGATAAACCCAAACCACTATTAATCGTTGTATGCTTTACTTTTTTAGTTCATTATCTACATCGTATGTTCACAGTTATCCTTAGCATTTCGGTTTGCTTGTTGTTGCTTTTAACATATAACGCAGAAGTCTTGTATAATCTTCTTTCAACCTATTCATCCCCTCTAAGTTGTATTGTTAGCCCCAACAAAAAGGATTTGCACAAGTTAACAGGCATGCTGGCAAGTAATTATAGGTTGGCCGAATTTGACCACTCATATCTTTTCCGTCCAACGTCCTATTGGCCCCGATGAATTATCCATTCTCCATCTATTGGCATTGATTTCTAGAGAGTGATAAGAAAGCACATTTTTGGTTCTGATTTCAAGCTGTGACACACATGAATCATCATCTTTATACTGTCGAACGTCATTTGATGACGAGATAGGTATGCTTCAGTGGCCAATGTGGGGATCCTTACAAACATAAACATGACTTGTCTAACCCAACATGCATTAACATATATAATTTCTCGTATAATTCTTCTTCTTATTCCAATCTGTTTCACTGTATTTGAAGGATTATATGTTGTCCTAACTAGTCATTTCAGACTATCTTATCTAGCTTGGCGGGTTTTCTTTGTTTCAACTTTATTAAAAGCGAAAAAATACTTACTAAATTTTCCGTCATAATTTAAAATATTATTAAAAAATTTTAATGGTTATGAAAAATTATATGTATATCTGTGTATCAACATTTACATATTTTACTCATTTTTTAAATTTATTCGATTTTTAAAAATTCGAAGTGCCTTAAAACTTTGATTTAACTAAAAATAAAGAGTAAAGGTTCAAACACATCTTTTACTGATTGGTTTGTAGAAGTATTCTTTTGGACAAGTGGAATGTATTCATATTAAGACTCCATTTGTTTCATGGAAAATGAATGATTAGGAAACTCTTTTTTTAAAATTGATCGCTTATATCACTTGCAATAATTAGTCAATAGAAAATATTTTCATTATTAACATTGTTATTTATATCTAAATATTTTTGTGGACGATGAAAATATTTTTCGTTCATTCATTTTGTAAATGATACAAGCAACCATTTTTAGGAAAACGATTTAATCATTCATTTTTCGCGAAATAAACGAAGCCTAACTCTTTCCTACCTTTCCTTGCAAGTTACAAGAGGCTTGCACATGACCAAAAAGGACTTGCACAAGTGAACAGGCCCCCGATAGGAAGGTATTATAGGCATTACCGGACCTCATAATCAGGATCTTCGGAAGCTCAGACCCGCAACCACGTTGCAATATCTTGGCCCAACTTGACCACTCATGTCTTTCCTATCCAACGTCCTATTGACCCGATAAATTATCCAGTCTCCATCCATTCGCGTTGCTTTCTAGAGAGTGATAAGAAAGCACATTGCCGGTTCTTATGCCAAGCTGTCACACATCTTTACAATTTCCCTGTTGGAGTATCCCCTTCTTGTGCAAGCAAAGAATAAGAAGCCAGCAATTATCCGTCTCTGATGATATTATTCTTATTCGAAGTCCTTTTGCATCTCATCATGTCCAACGTCATGTGATGACGAGATAAGTATGTTTCAGTGGCCAATGTGGGGCTCCTTACAAATATAAACATGACTTGTCTAACCCAATATGCATTAATATATATAACTTCTCGTATACTTCTTCTTTTCCAACATGTTTCATTGTTTTTGAAGGATTATATATTGTCCTAACTAGTCATCTCAGATTGTCTTATCTAGCTCGGTGGTTTTTATTTGGGCAAAAGAACACTGGAAGTGCCAAAAGTTTTGTATGGCACTTGCTTTGGTGCCAAACTTTTCAATCAAATCACTCTAGTGCCACTTTAAAAAAAAAAAAGATCAATGAAGTGCCAACTCCGATTTAAAATTACCGGAAATCCAACATTGCAATATTTTTTTAATTCTCCGACTGATGAGGCTAGCCGGCATGCCTGGTCAGCATATATACACCTAACTACGTCATGTACATGTTTTGCCCTAAATATAAACCCTAAATCGAACCATCGAGCATTTCCCAAATTCAAAGACCCAATTCTCAAATTCGTGGACCGACTTCACTCCGGAAAATCAACAAACACATGGTGATCAGTTCAAATGAAGGATATAGATGCAATGGCGAAGCACCAATTCAGATCCAGAATATCATAGTCACATCAGAGTATGTTTATTAGATTACAGAATAAACAAGACTTGTCTAACCCAGTATGCATTAACATATATAATTTCTTGTGTAATCTTCTTCTTATTCCAATCTGTTTCATTGTTTTTGAAGGATTATATATTGCCCTCACTAGTCATTTCGGATTGACTTATCTAACTCAGTGGGTTTTCTTTGTCTCAACTTGAATAAAAGCTAAAAAAAATTAAATTTTCCATCAAAATTATATGTTTATCTATGTGTCAACATTGGCATATTTTGCTCTTTTTTTTTAAAATTTTTCGAATTTTAAAATTTTCAAAGTGCCTGAAAACTTTGATTTTAATAAAAATAAAAAGTAAAGGTTCAGACACATCTTCTACCGATTGGTTTCTAGTCTAAAAGTATTCTTTTGGACCGGTGGAATATATTCATATTAACTCTTTCCTGCCTTTCCTTGCAAGTTACAAGATAACTTGGCCAAGAGAATCATTTAACTTGACTCGCTCATAATTCGTTAAGAATCCAAAATATCAGTCGAGATATTTACCAAAAGAAACGAGAGGTACTAGAAAAGATAATTTTCATTTTTCATACTATGAAAAGTCGCACTCGGATCCATTGATAAGCCTTTCTAGGTGGATTTCGAAAAAAATTATCATAACAGTCCTAAACCTATTGCAATTATGCCAATTCAATCCATCCGGCCAATTTTGGCCGACTGAAGCTAATGTGGCATTTTTTAATTTTTTTTTCAAAATTGCTATTAATTTTTTTTATCCTTTTCTTTTCTTTTTCCTCTTTTTTTCTTTTCCTTTCCCCTTTTTTTTCTTTCCTTCATCTTCAACCTCTAGCCGGTCAACAGAACCGGCAACCCAGCCACTAGCCTCGAGTTGCACTGGTGAGAACAACCTCACCCAGCCACTAGCCTCGCCAATGACAGTCTGGCAAGGTTGGCCTCGCCATCGCTGTCACACACAAGGACAACCCTCGCTATGGCTGGGCGAGGCTCGAACTTGCCAAATCTGGCGGCCACAACAAGCCACTAGCATCGACCACCAGATATGGCAAGCTTGAGCTTCGCCATGGCTCCACCTCGCGAGCAACGACGAGGGTTGAACTCATTAGCGGCAGTGGCCAAGCTTGGGCATCGTTGTTGCTTGCGAGGACGAGCCTCGCCATGGTTGGGCGAGGCTCGAGCACGCCAGATCTGGCAGCCGACGCTAGTGATTGGGCACGGCCACCAAATCTGGCAAGTTCGAGCATTACCTAGCCATGGCGAGGCTCAAACTAGCGTGCGACGGCGATGGCAAGGTCGGCCTCGCCAGTGTCTGGGTGAGGTCATTCTTGCCAAGGGTGGCCGAGGCTAACCTCGCCGGCCCCTGCCTCTGGTCGATCACCAGAACCAACGACTGGCTAGAGGTTGAAGATGAAGGAAAGACAAAAAAAAAAAAAAAGGAAAGAAAAGAATAAAAAAGGGGAAAAAGACAAGAAAAGAATTAAAAAAATAATTAAAAAATTAGAAAATTTTTGTTAAAATATATATATTTAAAAATGCCATGTCAGCGTTGACTGGACGACCAGCACCAACCGGCCAAAATTGTCCGAATGAACTAAATTGGTACAAATGCAAAAGGTTTAGGACTGAATTGGCATAATTCTAATAGGTTTATGATTGTTTTGGTAATTTTCCCAGTGGATTTAATTTGATGGGAGCACTATAATTGTCACTAAAATATTAAGCTAAAGTATCTAAGGCTGCGTGCCTACTATCTCTTAACATGCAACAGATAGTATGCTAAATCTACAGTCCAATCTAAAATCTATCTACACGTGAGTGTACGAGAGAATAGCGTGATCGGGTTCCCATGAGAATCACTCCACTCCCCTTCGCGCCTATAAATATGGATGGTGTCCTAACATTCTTTGCCAAGCCCAAACCTTAAAATCTTATAAGAACTTCATCTCTATAGAGAGCTTTTTCACAAGCTCATCTTGAATGCCAATGGCCCCTCCAGCAAATCTCGCTGACATAGGACGGGAAGGCTTTGATCTCCTCGAGAAGACCTATGGCCACAAAAGAAGGCCTGCCATTGCTCCTCCACCCCCGCTGCCGCAGCGGAAGGCCCAACCCTGCGTTTACCGTCGGACCGAAGTGCCTCTGATCACCGAGAGGCTTCCTGAATATGTTGTTTCCCATCAGTCGCACCAGCATCAACAGCCAGGCTATCTGTCTTTCCACAGGAGTGAAGTCCCCCTTCATCACCATTATTACAGTAATCATCACCGCAATCCTTACCCGCCTGCGGAGGATGATGCCTATGGCGATGCCATGGACAGCAACAAAGCAGCCGTCTTGTATAGGGGGATGAAGATCATTGAGTATCATCGGGTTTGATTAGATTTTTCTTGCCTTTTTAGCTATTATGTTGTAGTAATATGGTGCTCGGTGTGAAGAACAACACATGAAGCTTTCTCAAGTATGTAGTTTGGTTATGAATAGAGTCTGTGAAGTCATGCGGTTGAGTAGAGTCTGTCAAGTCATGAGGTTGTAATTAGCTTTGTGTTATGCTTTTATCGTGACTCTTTCGTGGGTTTTTTGCGTGATTGTGGAAGAGTTGCTCGATCAACGCATGCTATGGGTTATGTGCTCATAACCATCTTTAAAGAAGATAGGGTTAATTGCTTTGGCAATGCACACTGGCCCCCAAACTTTAAAAAGTCACAAATTACCTTCCTGAACTTTGGCACCGCTATTAAAAAAACCCCTAAATTTGAAAAGTCAAAGATTACTCCCTCAAATTTTGTATTTTGTTGCAGCCGATAGCTTATGTCTGCATAACTGAAGTGTGCTGGAAAATGGAGTTAATGAAGTTATCAAAAAAGAAAAAGAAGAAGAGGAAGAAGAAGAAGAGGATGCATGGCTAATGAAGTTCATTGTTCATTCTCTGGTAAAACATAGCGGTTTTGCAGACGGAAAAACTTCCATTTTGAATGGCGTCAGATGGAATTATCCAGAACAAATGTGGTGCGACCATACTCAAGAGAGAGTTACCAAATAAATGTCCATGGCATATCCTTAATGATGGAGCGAGAATGACCCGTGCCAGGCGACGCCATTCCGGAAGATGGAGATTCGCAGCTCCATGATGTCCTCCGTCTTCTTGATGAGCTCGAATGCACAGACGTCTCCGACTCACGGGGAATTTCTCTTTTGCGAAATCTCCCCCAACTAGAGGTACTTGCCGCTGTCTCGGCCGAACAATGGCTTCACTGTCAACCATTCGATCTTTGGAGTGCTCCTTCACAAAGCTATATGGTATGTACTGCATAGCCAAACCCCATTCATGAGCTTTAAGTATTCTCACCTGCACAGGTTGATTATCTAATTCAGTGTAAACTCATTCATTAGCAAGCTGACATTTTCCAGACACGGAAAGTGCTCGGGATTCAATTGTGTAAAATTTACATGTGTACATTTCAAAAGCATATTGAATATAATAAGTAATGCTATAAAGTTCAATCAAAAAGCTTAAATTAATAGATAGAGAGATGACATGTATATTCAATGTGAGCTAGTTTAACATCCCTTTTCATATGTAAGCCGGATTAGTAATGACACATGAAATTTGACGAACGAGATGGACACACGCGAAATAAGCTCGGATAGAACCTGGCTCTAGTACTATATCAAAATGTCTAACTCAAAAGCTTGAGAAATGAGTACTTTTCCGATATTTCGGGTGTATATTCCAGACATGTTTCTGCTTGACTGCTTTATGGGAAACTATAATCATTAGGAGTTTCATTAGAATTTCACCACCTAAAATTAGTTCTATGCAAGGCACGAAGCAATAATTCCATGTATACAAATCACTTTGAACGTCGTAGGCCAGGACTCTCTTGAAAAAACGAGGAGGCCAGGTCAAGTAAGAGTCCTGCTAGGAGGACGGCGCAGTTATACTGAATTTCTAACGAGGGCATATTGACCACAAGTTTCACTTTAGGAGAGGTGGGCAACTGGATGTTACAAAGTGTGGAATAAAGGTTTTGTCTTTTTATTTTATTGAAGAATAATATTACCGGTGGCGCATCTATTTTTGTCCGAAAATCAAAATCATCCCTCTTATCTTTTTTATGTTTAAAAAACGCACTATATTAGTCCTTTGTTATAATTTTTCTTTTTTATGTGGATTTTTGTTGATATGAATTGCGGAATTGCTTACACAAACGTTGGAATACATGTGTCGAATTATGATTCGCTACACGTTATAATGTGCTGCCAAATAGGCATCACATCAAACAATATAAAAGAAAACAAAATAGAGAGAGAGGGGGTCCATCATGACCACCATAGCCGCAAGCTCAAGCTCTAAGCGTGTAGGCAGACATGAATGTACAAGTGCATGGGCGCAAGCTCAATCTGCATCGATCATGTTGGCTAGATCTTTTTTATTTATGGAAATCCCACCAAAGAAACCGGACAAGCTCCTTGGAAAAATATGGGGTCAAGATTGCACCGTCACTCTGCCAAGAGTAACTGTGCAGTCAGCCAAGCTTTTTCTTTCAAAGAAAACCACTCTCTCATCTATTCCTTGGGGAAACAGTCGAGTGTGAGTATCTCTTCACCTTTCACGTACAAGGACTCACGTACACATGCATTCACTTAATTGACCATTATATAGCTTAATTTTTATTTCAACAAACATAGCTTAATGTGTCGTGCTAATACGAAACAATAAAGTTTTGTGCTTGTCGCAATGTGTAAGGAAGATAAAAGTTAACAAGCTTTCTGGAGCACTTGTTAATTTTAACTAATTGAAGTGATCATGAAATTAGCAACCTCTAGTCCTGAATGGACGGACTTAGCCAAGAAAATTGGCCTGCATGGACAAGCATGGCTATTAATTTGGGCCCAATGGATTTTTGGGCCAAGTCCAACTCGCCCATTTATTTGTCCGAAAATACAAACATCGGAACCTTAATGCTGATTGAGTTGGTCGGACTAACCCGATATTTTCCCACGAACTTCTTGAGGGGAATCATCTATAGAGGAGACGGAAAGTATCAAAGATAAAAGTAACTATATTGGATTGGAGCATATAAGCTCTTCATTATGCCATACTCAAGGGGTAAAAGTAGGATTTTTAAAATAAACCAATTTGCCATGTTAAGTAAAAGGAATATGCACAACGTAAATCCTAAAACTTGTCATGAAAGTACAATTGAATTCTAAAACTTGCAAAAAGTGCAATCAAGTCATAAAACTTATCAAATTGGTGCAATCGAGTTCTTCTATTAACTCCGTCTAACTTCACTAACGGAAAATACCAATGTGGTTTTTTTCTAATATTTTCTCTCTTCTGCATGGCAATGATGTGGTTAAAATATAAAACATAAAGCTAAAACGACGATGTTGTGGCCCAAATAGGATTTTTAAAAGAAAATTTATTTAAATTAAAGTAAAATAAATAAAAATAAAAATAAAGGAAAAATAAAGGAGAGTTAGACCAAGCAATGCAATTGCAAAGCCTGCTGCGACCGCCCTACCATCGACAGGACGGGTTGGCGATGGTGGGGAAATGGTAGTCGTTGGCCATCGGGCCCCTGCCCTCGCCTAGCTCTGATTCTAACCTTTTTTGTTTATTTTAGCTTATTTTTTTAATTTAATTTAAATAAAATTTGTATTTAAATCAAATTTGGACAAAAAACCACATCGTTTTAGCCACGTCATCGCCACGTATGATAGAGAAAATAATTAAAAAAAATCACATCAGTATTTTCTGTTAGTCAAGTTAAACAGAGTTAACAAAATGACTCGATTGTACCGAAATGACAAGTTTTAGAAATTGATTGCACTTTTTGTAAGTTTTAGGACTCAATTGCGCTTTTGTAACAAGTTTTAGGACTTCCAATGAACATATCCATAAGTAAAATCTGAAAATAAACTAGTTTGCCATATAATTACGGCAAACTGGTTTATTTTCAAAATCTTATCTCATTTTCTTTTATGGAAAATTGGATTATTTTCAAAATCTTTTTTTCCCCCCCGTTAAGTATTGCCTAATCAAGAGCTTACACGTTCCAAATTAAAAACTAAGTTAGTAGCCAAAAGAAGTTCACAGGAGAAGAGAATCTTACAATCCGGCCGGTTTGAGTCTCATCGGCGAGAATAATCCCAAATAATATGGGGAGTCTCAGCCTCGAAAACAGCTCTTCGTCATTTCTCGAGCGATAACAAGTATGAATGAACCGCTACGAGCCCCTCTTTTTTCTTTTTTCTTTCCTTTTGCCGATTTTTGGTGTTACAGTTCTTGAGGGGAAGAGGTTCTTTGAGTACCTTCGGCATTCAGTGAATCGGTTCAAGACTTCAATTTTGTCCTTCGTGTTTAAGGATCGCAATGCCAAACGACCAAGGACCCACACTGTCTGCCTGCGCTCATTGCATTCATTACGAAAAACTTCATTTGCTAAAATTTCATAAGAAAAACAATGCCAAAGTCATCTGCATTTCTCCACCAGAGCCCAACAAGCCAGGGACCAGACTTGACTCACATCTCTACACCAGTCAAAAGTGATCACACCGATCTAGATCATTTGCATGCACCAAGCAAAAACACGGTATCTCCAAAAGAAGAGGCACAAGTGTATCAGTCCAAACGATCTTAGTCCACAAGATCAATTGTCCAAACAATCTTAGTCCACATGATCTATAGACAGTGCTAAGCCAGCTCCTACAACTCTCCAAAACATTTCTCTTTCTCAGCGAAAAGAGCAAAAGTTGTTCCTGCCCTTCCTTGAGAAAAGCATCAAAACTCCCTTTTTTAAGCCCGTTTCTCACAAGCCGGACCAGCTCCATTCCTTCCTGCTCTGCTCATTATCCTCAACGCTATGGCATCGCCGCTACCTCGACGGTATTCAAACATCAGGGTGTCACCAATTACGAAGCCGTTCGCTTTGACCACGCGTGGCCACCCACTAATACTGGTGCGCTTGACATATTGGCGCAACTGGACCAGCCACTTCCTCCCCAGTGGATCTTCTATGACCACGCTTCTCTTTGATTTTAGCCTCGCCTCTCTTGCAAAAGCTGCTGGAAGATTCTGAAATCCCAACATTTACAATCAGTACAAAGTAGGTCTTCCGACTAGTATATTTAAATCAAGGAAAAATACTCTTGGAGAGGAATAACGATTTTAGATTTGACTAAATCATAAAATTTGAAAGATTTTGACAAGAATATGTCCAGATAACCTTTCAGCGATGAATATAATCAGGAACAGAGTTCTTGTATGTCTCCTAGTAATAACAAGAACCCTTTTCCTCTAGCACAAGATGAGAGCCATGCCACAGTTTTGACCTTGAAAAAATGCAGCAAAAGAAGCAAATGCGAACTGCGCATAGGTCCCAGTCCCACTAAATCACCTGTGACAGTGCAACTGAGTACCTATGAATTCGACGAACAAAATAAAACAAGTCCATACTTACAAGCCAACGCATTTGAAATTTCCTCATGGAGCACACAAAATAAGGATGCCTAGCAGGCATGTTACTTTCAACCCCCATAAGCGACTCTTCCTCCTCTTTTTTGACCTCATCGAATGGACCGCTTTTTTCTTCAGCATATGCACCTGAATGCCTTGAAGAATTCCGTGACTACTTTCTTACAGAAAAATCAAGCAGGAATGAACAAGAAAACAAGGGCTTAGAGCTCACCAGGTTGTCCTCCATAACTCCTTGTAGAAATGGTTTTTCTCTCGCAGCAATCTGTGTCATATACGACCACTTCAAATGTCTCCTGACCAACCATTGAGAAAATTACCAGCTCCCCTAATTCCAAGTGTAGGTCCTTCACAAACTCTGCAAGACCTTGTGAAAAGCGGTAGCCTCGTCACTTTCTTCTGTCCTAATGAACCATGACCTCCGGCCGCATTTGACAAGAAGTTTCTTCGGTACATTTCCCTGGAAATTCTTCAGAAAAGCTGGTGGGATTTTCTGCGCATAAGTAAAAAAATCTGTGATGTATTTCTTATTGGATATCCACCTTCCCTCACCAAAATAACATGAAATGAAAATACTGTTCCAAGGAAATGCTTCAACAGATTCATAACAAGTATCTATTGCTTTTTAGATCATAATCAGGTTTTCAGACATTGTGAAGGAAAATTCGTTGTTGTGTGTAAGGGGGAAAAAAGTGGGAAACTCTGTATATAACAACATACTCTACTAGGCAAGGTCCTAATGATGAGACAAAAAGTTGAATCCTGGTTCTGTTAGAGTAAACAATTTGGAGATAGATGTGTATGAAAGAAGACTCACTTGATGTCATAAATTGATCTAGAATTCAAGAAATTGTCCGCCCATTTTAGACTAGGTGGTATAGCGACAATGCAAGTATGTCGCTACAGCAAAATGATATCCAAAGA